CATCGTTCTATTGTTCTGTCTATCATCCTGTCCATCTGTCGTTCTGTTGTTGTGACTATCTATCTATCTATCTATCTATCTATCGTTCTATCGTTCTATCTATCGTTCTGTCTATCATCCTATCCATCCATCTATCTATCTATCTATCTATCTATCTATCGTTCTATCGTTCTATCTATCGTTCTGTCTATCATCCTATCCATCCATCTATCTATCTATCTATCTATCTATCTATCGTTCTATCGTTCTATCTATCGTTCTGTCTATCATCCTATCCATCCATCTATCTATCTATCTATCTATCTATCTATCGTTCTATCGTTCTATCTATCGTTCTGTCTATCATCCTATCCATCCATCTATCTATCTATCTATCTATCTATCTATCGTTCTATCGTTCTATCTATCGTTCTGTCTATCATCCTATCCATCCATCTATCTATCTATCTATCTATCTATCTATCGTTCTATCGTTCTATCTATCGTTCTGTCTATCATCCTATCCATCCATCTATCTATCTATCTATCTATCTATCTATCGTTCTATCGTTCTATCTATCGTTCTGTCTATCATCCTATCCATCCATCTATCTATCTATCTATCTATCTATCTATCGTTCTATCGTTCTATCTATCGTTCTGTCTATCATCCTATCCATCCATCTATCTATCTATCTATCTATCTATCTATCGTTCTATCGTTCTATCTATCGTTCTGTCTATCATCCTATCCATCCATCTATCTATCTATCTATCTATCTATCTATCGTTCTATCGTTCTATCTATCGTTCTGTCTATCATCCTATCCATCCATCTATCTATCTATCTATCTATCTATCTATCGTTCTATCGTTCTATCTATCGTTCTGTCTATCATCCTATCCATCCATCTATCTATCTATCTATCTATCTATCTATCGTTCTATCGTTCTATCTATCGTTCTGTCTATCATCCTATCCATCCATCTATCTATCTATCTATCTATCTATCTATCGTTCTATCGTTCTATCTATCGTTCTGTCTATCATCCTATCCATCCATCTATCTATCTATCTATCTATCTATCTATCGTTCTATCGTTCTATCTATCGTTCTGTCTATCATCCTATCCATCCATCTATCTATCTATCTATCTATCTATCTATCGTTCTATCGTTCTATCTATCGTTCTGTCTATCATCCTATCCATCCATCTATCTATCTATCTATCTATCTATCTATCGTTCTATCGTTCTATCTATCGTTCTGTCTATCATCCTATCCATCCATCTATCTATCTATCTATCTATCTATCTATCGTTCTATCGTTCTATCTATCGTTCTGTCTATCATCCTATCCATCCATCTATCTATCTATCTATCTATCTATCTATCGTTCTATCGTTCTATCTATCGTTCTGTCTATCATCCTATCCATCCATCTATCTATCTATCTATCTATCTATCTATCGTTCTATCGTTCTATCTATCGTTCTGTCTATCATCCTATCCATCCATCTATCTATCTATCTATCTATCTATCTATCGTTCTATCGTTCTATCTATCGTTCTGTCTATCATCCTATCCATCCATCTATCTATCTATCTATCTATCTATCTATCGTTCTATCGTTCTATCTATCGTTCTGTCTATCATCCTATCCATCCATCTATCTATCTATCTATCTATCTATCTATCGTTCTATCGTTCTATCTATCGTTCTGTCTATCATCCTATCCATCCATCTATCTATCTATCTATCTATCTATCTATCGTTCTATCGTTCTATCTATCGTTCTGTCTATCATCCTATCCATCCATCTATCTATCTATCTATCTATCTATCTATCGTTCTATCGTTCTATCTATCGTTCTGTCTATCATCCTATCCATCCATCTATCTATCTATCTATCTATCTATCTATCGTTCTATCGTTCTATCTATCGTTCTGTCTATCATCCTATCCATCCATCTATCTATCTATCTATCTATCTATCTATCGTTCTATCGTTCTATCTATCGTTCTGTCTATCATCCTATCCATCCATCTATCTATCTATCTATCTATCTATCTATCGTTCTATCGTTCTATCTATCGTTCTGTCTATCATCCTATCCATCCATCTATCTATCTATCTATCTATCTATCTATCGTTCTATCGTTCTATCTATCGTTCTGTCTATCATCCTATCCATCCATCTATCTATCTATCTATCTATCTATCTATCGTTCTATCGTTCTATCTATCGTTCTGTCTATCATCCTATCCATCCATCTATCTATCTATCTATCTATCTATCTATCGTTCTATCGTTCTATCTATCGTTCTGTCTATCATCCTATCCATCCATCTATCTATCTATCTATCTATCTATCTATCGTTCTATCGTTCTATCTATCGTTCTGTCTATCATCCTATCCATCCATCTATCTATCTATCTATCTATCTATCTATCGTTCTATCGTTCTATCTATCGTTCTGTCTATCATCCTATCCATCCATCTATCTATCTATCTATCTATCTATCTATCGTTCTATCGTTCTATCTATCGTTCTGTCTATCATCCTATCCATCCATCTATCTATCTATCTATCTATCTATCTATCGTTCTATCGTTCTATCTATCGTTCTGTCTATCATCCTATCCATCCATCTATCTATCTATCTATCTATCTATCTATCGTTCTATCGTTCTATCTATCGTTCTGTCTATCATCCTATCCATCCATCTATCTATCTATCTATCTATCTATCTATCGTTCTATCGTTCTATCTATCGTTCTGTCTATCATCCTATCCATCCATCTATCTATCTATCTATCTATCTATCTATCGTTCTATCGTTCTATCTATCGTTCTGTCTATCATCCTATCCATCCATCTATCTATCTATCTATCTATCTATCTATCGTTCTATCGTTCTATCTATCGTTCTGTCTATCATCCTATCCATCCATCTATCTATCTATCTATCTATCTATCTATCGTTCTATCGTTCTATCTATCGTTCTGTCTATCATCCTATCCATCCATCTATCTATCTATCTATCTATCTATCTATCGTTCTATCGTTCTATCTATCGTTCTGTCTATCATCCTATCCATCCATCTATCTATCTATCTATCTATCTATCTATCGTTCTATCGTTCTATCTATCGTTCTGTCTATCATCCTATCCATCCATCTATCTATCTATCTATCTATCTATCTATCGTTCTATCGTTCTATCTATCGTTCTGTCTATCATCCTATCCATCCATCTATCTATCTATCTATCTATCTATCTATCTATCTATCATCCTGTCTATTTATCTATCTATCTATCTATCATCCTATCCATCTATCGTTCTGTCATTCTATCTATCTATCTATCTATCTATCTATCTATCTATCTATCTATCTATCATTCTGTCT